AAATGATACAAAAGGTCAGCTAATGTAACGTCGAACACTTTTCATATATAGATAGGTGGGTAATCGCACGATCATCGCACAACGCACCGATTACCCATGCTTTTGAGTTTTGGGTGGGTAATAGGGGTAATTTTGGGGAGGTTTATTGCTAGTTACGGACTTAGTGACTTTAATAGTTGGTGAGGGGGTTCAATCTAACACAAAACTAGTGGGAAGTGAGGGAAGGATACAGAAGCAATAAATATAGGTAAACAAATATTTTCATTAGTTTTTCGTTACGAATTCTACACATTTTTTAAAGATTGGCTAGGTAGCGCTCTGCTTACCATAATGTTTTCTGCTATTTATCTACTTGTGTTAACAGAATCAAGATTGACCAAATCTTGACCCATACCGCGAGTGATGGGGGAGGGGGGGGGGGGCTCTACAGATTCGATACTTCCGAAACTACTCGTCTGATATTCAAAATCTGAACGGGGCACGGTAGCCCAAAAACTGTTTGATGAAACTTCAGTTTGCTTACCTCGAGACCACTGATGATACCACGGGTCAGGTCAAAGTAAACATAAGTTACATTTCGACATAACGGCCGGCACATGTTAACCCTACCAGGCCAAGGGGTCGGGTACCACTGGGACAATTTTTCGCGATTGCTTGGAACACGCCGGCCATAGATAATTAAAAGTTGGCCTACCCGACTTTTGACTTAAGTCGGAACTTAATCTTTCACTTTTGCCGTATAATAACAAATACCTTCACCGTCGGTTCTATCTTCCAATTTAAGGACAGAGATCCCAAACCTTGGTGTTTTTTACCAGTTTTGTTGCTCCTCGTGTGGGGAGTCGTACATTGGATTCACCCATGTACGCCTCTTTACCAGATTGTGCCAGCACATGGGGATTTCTGACCGCACCGATTAAATGGTAATTAGCCCAAAGCCCTCATCTTAACATGATGTCATAATGCATATTGCATAATTTGCTTACCTACCTCATTATGATTGAGTTACGAGCCTACAGGCAGTAAAACATTTACCCAGTTGCAGCTATGAGCGTGTCTTACATGTCGAGCAATGGGACGTGGACGCGAGGTAATTACAGCCTACTAACTATGCAATAATTGTTCATTTATCACCTTTCAGGCCTACTCCTCTATTGACGGCGGAGGCAAGATGTGGGGATTCAGCCAATGGGCACGGAACCATTCACGGCAAATCGCCCTAGCTAAAATAAATAGCTTTGTTTGTTGGCTACAGGGACCATTTTCAAATGAAGGGAACGACTTTCTTCAACACCAAGAGGCCGCGGGGGTTGCAACCTAGATAGATAGTGGTTTCTGAACCTCGCCGCAAACTTGGCTATCTCAACTCAAACCCCATGTTAAAGGTGGGATAGTCCCTTTAAAGACCATGCTGATGAGTGTGGCACTGCCTTCTCAATCAACAATTTCGAGATTTTACAAAGAAGTTGCCTAGAATCGGACATGAGATTATTAGAATCTCTATATTTGTACAAACGCGGACCAAAACTGAAAACAAAAAACTCCGCCCTGCCAACTTAATATAGTGGTGTGAGTGACCTGCGCGTCACACAGCGGAGGCGTTCAGAGATAATTGAGACAATTGTCAGATACTTAGGGAAATGTGTATCGCGATTCAGTGCCTGATCTTACGATTTATATTAACCCGCGCCCTAATGGGGGTATTTTGCCCCCCCCTCCCATCATATCCTTTCCGTCATTCCATTTCCTGTTGTTTTTTAATAGCGAAAAACGACGGCGCGCAGCGCCGCCAAATGTTTAGTAGCTTTTCAGACATCAATTTGACATTTTTATTCAAAACTTCAAGTCGTAGGTCATCTAAGGTCAGGAGATATTGACCCTCGCACGACCAGGCCATTTCTCATAACACGAACGACCAGGGGGGGGGGGGTTGTTACGACCCCCCCTGGCGTTTCGAAACGGAAGGTCGTAGAGCTTAGCGGAAAAAACCAACGGATTGCTCTCAACGAGGTCTCGCGATTGGTGGTATATTTTTTGGTCCTAGGTCAACATTTGACCTACTTTTGACCGGTCGAAGGTCAAATTTTCGGAAAAATATACTTTTTTCAACTTTCGGCGGCGATTGCGGCAAAACGGTGGGAGATATCGACTTGAAACCTTCACTATCGTGTTCCTTGATCAATTCTCTATCGTTTGGTATGTATTTCGTTTCCCTAGCTCTAAAAATGGCGCGTTGGGAGCGACGGAAGTCGGCAAGGTCACAGTCGGCGGCAGAAATTCGAAAAAATCAAAATTTAAATTTTTGAAATCTGATTGTATTTTTGGATTTGGGAGGTCCATTTGCTCCCTATAGAAGCTAATATTGCTGCATATTCCCATTGAGGTGACAAGAATTAGCAAAATAGTGGTTCGGGCGCTTTTCAAAAATAGTACCGGACGCTGTTCCTCTTGTGACGTCATAACTCCGTGACCTGACCTGACCCGGTCAATTTTCTTGCACCACACGATAGCCAATGCTTGCCCCAACATGCATGGGAAGTTTCATCATGATCCATCAAATAATGTGGGTATCACCGGCAGAAAACCTAGGGATTCGGCGCACACGTTTGGTAACTGTCGGCCGGAGGCTGTACCTCTTATGACGTCATAACTCCGTGACCTGACATGACCCGATCAATTTTTTCGGCAAAAGATGCGCAAAGGTTGCCCCAGAGGGTATTGAAAATTTCAGCCCGCTACGACAAGCCGTTTAGCGTGCACTTCGAAAAAACCTCAGGGGGGGGGGGTTGATACAACCCCCGCCAGGCGTTCTAGGGTTGAGGTCTATGTAGCTGAGGTCATGCTGGAGCAAAAATGAGCAAAAAACATAAAATTTTGAAACGCTGATTAAAGCTACAGTTAAGAGCAATTTCAAAGTTCTTTATATGGTCTTGTAGAGGAAAAACGTTGTTACAAAATTCTTATCTCGTATTTTCAAAATTCCGTGATTTTCACCAGATTTTTTAAATAAAATAGTATATAAATCCTAAAAGATTTTTGTCGAATTTCGACAAAAAAATGGAATATGTATGATGATCCCCACCCTCGTCTATCTACATACCAACTTTTAGATCGATATATCCTTTTTTGGCAAAGTTAGGTATAGCGAAAAAACTGCTCAAAATTGATGAAGTCAAATTTTTGAACTCAATTTGTAGCAATTCTAAACTACGTAGCAAAAACCAAAGACAACCATTAGACTCCCCGTGACGAGCTGCATCGAGCTGCACCCATTTATGCAAAAATACCAAGTTAAAAGTTTGACCTTTTTTGACCTGACCTTTTTTTATAAATTTAGTCCAAACCTTTTGATAGGAAGGATTCACAAGGACAGAGCCACCGCTAAGCGAAGTTTGTTGCGGTGACCCTGCCCTCTACCCTCCGATCGCGCAATTCCAGTTCTATGGCAGAATTTAGAGTCCAAATTTTAACGTGCGCACATATCCGCGCACGGCCGGTCCCCTCACTGACTTCGCCTGGCTACGGCCTGCCACCAACCGCAACCATACCTGTCAGGAGGCCCATAGATGTCAAGCGCCCGTCGCGCTCGAACCCGGACTGTTTCAACCGGGAACGCGTGCTCTCACCACGCGGAGTCCAACGTTCTACCAACTGAGCTACGGACCTTGACCTGACCTTCACCAGAACATAACCTAAACTGGCCCCAAAGGTTGCCTGACCCACATAATCGCATTTGTCATATAAAATGGACCATGAAACATGCATCACATGATATCTTCATATTGTGACCCTCAGTGACCTGACCTCTGTGGCCTGACCTGGTATCAGTGACCTCAATTAGCAAAATATTTGTTTGACGAGCAATTCCCCATTGATGATTTTCAATTGAATGCATTTTAGCCTTTAGGTACTCTATTTTACAACGCATTTCTTTGAAATGTTTGTAAACGGAATGCCTGTAAATTCATACTATGTTTAAATTGCCCCACCTGTTCAATTTACTCCACCCTACCCTACCTTTCGATGCTTCTGATCATGGACATAGCACAATGTTGCCAAAACCCCGGCTCTGCGATAATTTTCTTGGCAAAGCTATTTACCAAAAATCCTGAACCCTACCTGATACCTAAGACTTTAAAGGCCGCCCCACACTGGACCTCGCATGCGGGTTGCGAGTATTTGGGTTTTCGGGTTTCTTCAAAATCAAAGAATACAATCTAAGCTGAGTGATCCACACTACCATCTAACAAGCGAGCCTGCATGTTTTTAGCTTGCGAGCCACCTTGCATCGCATTTCAAAAGTTTTTTTTTAGAGTCAACTTTCGATTTTCCTCGCTGCGAGGTGTGCGAGTTCTGCGAGGTTTGCGGGTTTTTCGTTGTCCAGTCGAATTTTGGTTCGTTGCTCTGGTATTGCGACTATATGTATTTTTCTGAAGGTGTACCGGCTTCACTGCATTCATGAAGTTACCATCAGGGAACGGTCTAATCACTCTATTAGTATTATCACAGATAACAGTAGTACTACTGTTATCTGTGGTATTATGAATATATGAATATATATTAGTATTATGAATTAGTATTATGCCCGCAAACTCAAAACCCGCAAACTCGCAACCCGCATGCGAGGTTCAGTGTGGGGCGACCTCAGTCGCTACGTCCCGCAACGGCACACACGTCACTTCTAGCTCAATTAAGGGTGAAACTGTGAGGGTTTCCAACCTAACCCCATTCCCTTCTTCGGCCGGGGACATGTATGAAGAAAATTGATAGGTTAGCGACGGTTGACCAAAGTTCTTCAATGAATCAAAAGATAGTTAAATTACAAAATTAAGAATTCAGGTATTACAAATTATTACAAATTGTAAAAAATGGTCAAATTACAAATTACCTGCTACGCGGTCATCGTTGAACTCTGTCTGGAGCTGCACACATAAGTACAAATAGACAAATAGCTATATGACCTATTTCTACATGATATATTTATTTTCTTACTCTGACAGAGTGCACAACTGCCACGAAGACTGGCTGGAGATATACAACATCTACTACGACAACAGCACGGACCTGATCGCCCGGTACTGCAACCAGTCGACTCCGGGTCCCACTGAGTCCATCCGGGGTGCCCGCGGACTCCGAGTCATTCTGCACTCTGACGCTGATCACGTATCCAGCGGCTTCAAAGCCAAGTACATATTCCTCAACGCAAAGGACATATTTGGAGGTGAGTGTGGGCAGTTGACGATTAGTGCCCCCCATCATTGCTAACTTGTGTGGGAGGAGAGCCTGCGTTTGACGGGGAGGGACACAGCTGTGGCAGCCGAGTGTAGGCGGGAAAACAAACCCACTGACGCTGACCGAATGGGCCTCGACGGTCGAACATCGATTTTCCATCGATTGTGTTCTTTATTATTTCGCTTCTGTTAAAAGTGCAACGACATAACGTCAGGCAGACAATAATGGATACATTTTGTCATTATTTTCTTACTTTTGAAATTATGCGTAGCACTTCATTTTGTAGCGTAGAATTTGACTGCTATGCACCCTTATTTTTAAGTGAAGGCCAAATGATGTGGTCGGGCCAGTCAGGACGCACCATGACACACCTTTTTCCAAATGCGGTCAAACATTATCTCAGCATAAATGGAGAAATGCACGGCAAAGGTTTTACCGTGGTTGCTTACATCTTATTTTGATACATGACGCTGCTCTAATTTTGGTAACCGATGAATCTTGCATTTAATCGTCACCTCAAAGAAGAGATATTGAGACAAAGAAACGTTACCTCAAAGAACGACATTGATATTGAGACCCTCGTTGGATCTAGGTGTAGTCAGAACGTTTAAGGCCGCCGTCCACTGTGCGGAACGCGTGCGGTCCGTACGGAATTTAACACAGAACCCTATGGGCGCATCCGGTCCGTACGGAAATCGTGTGCGCTCCGTCCGGACCGCATCCGAACGGCAATCAGCTGTTGATTTTCCGTCAGCTCTCCGCATGCGTTTCGGATGCGGTTGCTACGGAGACGGAAGAGTGATGTCCGACGCGTTGAACTTTTCTGCGGAAAACGCATCCGGAACGTCCGGAACAGATGGTTTGGGGCCGTATCGGAGGCAAACATTGTGAATTGTACGAAGAATTGGAACTCGATCATCATGAAGTAAGTAAAAATTATTTCCTTAGAATAGCAAGAGTATTCGCTGCTGGTTACTTGCAATATTTTATTTGGTAATAAGTGATAGGAAATATTTATTAGCTCTCCGCATCCGGACCGCATCCGGACCGCATCCGGACCGGATGCGGCGACATTCCGGACGGACTCCGGACGGAATTCCGTCGCAGTGGACGGCGGCCTTTAGTTTAATAGAAGGATGCAAGTCACTGGGTGACTCAACCATTCAAAGCTTTCAGTGACACGAGCTATATAGCAGGAACCGGTCAGAGTTCATTTATTTCGGTCATGGGTCTTCATGAACAGGGTGTGTTCGATACTAATAAGGTATCTGTCTCTATCAATGAGTTCAGTGTGCTCAAGGTTCCCCGATAGTGTTATCAACTCAAGTGTGTGGCTGCCTAGGTGGGCTTGACAGACCATATTCGGTCTAAGATAGGGCATCAGCCATATATGGTATGATCCCGTTGACACCATATCTGATTATATGGTGCATCGGTTTAATAAACTTGGTTATGATGATGATGATGATTGTATGTATCGTGTCAGACATTGTGATATTTATTCACTTTCGATGGCAACATAAAAGCAAATATTCTAAATAGCCAGACGTTTCGGCCTCAGGGTGCCTTCGTCAGTGACAATATCGAGATACTAATACATTAATAAATTAATCAATATCTTTTACACTTTCAAAATACTTTCAAAATTTCATGTCCAGGTCATGTGTATTTTGAAAGTGTTAAAGATATTGATTAGTTTGTTAATGTATTAGTATCTCGACATTTTCACTGACGAAGGCACCCTAAGACCGAAACGTCTGGCTATTTAGAATATTTGATTTTATGTTGCCATCGAAAGCGATGATGATGATATGTGAGACTGTTAGGTGGGTAACTGGTTTCGTACTCGTGAGCATTTAAAACCTGCTTCACGCCTTACCTCTATGAATATTTTATACAGGATCAAACTCGTTTGAAAAAAATATTTATTCCACATATCATTTTTGCACTTTAATTAATCAACAGTTCCTTTAGAGTTTGCGTAACGATGTGTTTCCTTTTGCGTGCTCTGAATGCGAATTTCGAGTAATTCAGAACGATTTTCAACGAAGATTGGAAATGTAAACGTGGATTCAAAGACGCTTTAGGGATTGGCGACTATTTCAGGGTCTATTTCTTACCTGAAACGCTAGATATGATAAAAATATCGACGTAATAATATGAAATTAATGTTAAAAATACATCATTTCTTTCAAGTCACATTATCCTTAAATTATGAAGCACCATGACAGCTCCTCCCTGTTGGCAGTAGCGGCGGAACACCTTCAATTGGGGGGGGGGGGGGGTGTCACTGCCGACTTTTGGTCCCATTCTTTCCATGCAACGCTCATAGGGCTAATGTTAAAATGGCAAAATCAAGGGGGCACGGTGCGCTGGTGCCCCCCCCCCCCCGTTCCGCTGCCTATGCCTGTTGGTATACCAAACTTGTCGGTATAAGAATTGCAGGTTCGAAAGTCCATATATGAGCTTTCGAACCTGCAATTTTTACAGAGTAGCAATGGGCAGTTTTGCATTTGCCTGTGTAACACAATCTGATTTGCATCAATGCACGTACAAATGGTTTCAAGTTGGTAGGTATCAACGTAGCAAACTGCTTGACTAGTAGGTACCGATTGCTTTTCTGTAACTTTTTAGCTAGTGTATAGTCGACTACAGAATGATGTTCCACTTTTCACAGGCAGTTATTTGCTTGGAGTGGTAGGCTGTGCCGCATCACACGGGCTGAGTTCACAAATTATAGCTTTGTCCCAATGCTCACAATCGACACGCTTAATTGCGTGATAAAAGGCACAACTTAGCGCTCCGGTCAACTGATAGCTTCTAAGGAGTGGAACATCATTCTGTAGTCGACTATACGTTTAATTATTCCACCGTTTTATTATATTATTACCATACTACACTTTATTTATTTCCAATTCAGTGTTTGAAGCCCGTGTCTATACCGGCTGCTTTGTAAGCAGTTACGTGCCGTTGATGACTACCTAGACTACCTACACAGGTCGCCGTGTCCGCTGGCTGTTTTCCAACTATACACTGCCTCTGCGCCCACAGACTGCGGTAAGAACATCAGCAGCTCCCAGGACGGCGTGGTGACCTCGCCCCTCTTCCCGGACAACTACCCGGCCAAGGAGAGCAAGGTCTGCCACTGGTACATCCACGTCAAACCCGAGAGGAAGATCCTGCTCTACTTCGACACGTTCATCGTGGAGGGAGACCGATCCAGTGAGTCGACCTCCTAGGTCACTATGAGGTCACTGTGAGGTCACTGTGGGGTCAGCTAGGGTTCCTCCGGGGTCAACGTGGGCCTGTGGAACGAACAGCAACACAGCGACACTGATGTGATGGCGACGGGCTGGGGTCCCAATAATGCCAATAACCAATTTGATACCAACTATTTATTGGAAGGCGTATAACTGTATAAGACATCCATCTATTTCTTATTTCTGAGCGGATGGGCCACATATTGAATAAGCGGTAGTGACACCGCTAGCTCCCGTTGCTGTTATGTTGCACAAGCCCTGCTCTGCAATCTCTGAAAAAACACTCGGTCTGAGCCTTCCTGCTGCTTCCGAATGCACTTGACCTTCGGCTTGCTCCCCACGCGGCGTGAGAGCGGGGAGGGGGCAAGAGGGGGAGGGGAGGGAGGGGAAGCGTCGTGAGGTAGCGTGGCGGCGCGGCGGTCACCGGCACCAAATATGGCATGGTACGGGCGCGGTCGATGGTCCCGTGACTCAGCTGATTCGCACCAGGTGTCACAGTAAGATGGCGGTCCATATAAGGCGAGCATAGCGCGCTGGAGTGAGTAATATGCTATTGATGAACGGAAGCTCACATGGACAGCCGAACAGCGGCAGACGGGCAGACGAAATGATAGAACTACTGACGGGCGGCGGATTGACGCATCAGGCAGATACACTGGCGGATCCAGGCTTGCGTTTTGGGGGGGGCCAACTCATGCAGGAGCCAAACCTAGGGTACCCCCAAATCCTGTTTTCTCATCGGATTTAGGCCACTTATTTTTCGTCACAGCCCTGACACTATGATTTTTTTTAAACTAAAAAGAAAAATATATAAATGGTAGCCCACCCGACCCATGCCTTTATATTACTTTGTAAACACTTACCATTGTTTTTATCGACCAGTTAAAGGGACCCTCCCACCTTAGCATTAGATTTGAGCTGAGATAGCCAAAATGGGGTCCCTGGCTCACAATTACCGGTTTCGGCACGCACTCACAACATCGAGAAATGCCTTAAATCGGAAATATTGAATTTCCAAATTGCAGCATTTTGATTCAGAGGGGCTAATGCTTTTGGATACCCCTCTGAATGTGTGACGTCAGCGGAGATCTAATGATTTTTTAATATTTTACTAAAACGTTTGGTAGCATGCGGTGGTATAGGCTGCTTTGCGCGCAACAAATGCCGCACTTTCAAATAAAGTCGCTAGGAACAGCAGCGGATATCCCAAAAACTAAACGAAAATAAAAGTCTAATCTCTTGAAAACCGGTGAATATTTTTCGATAAAATTTGGTAGATATTCGTTTTCGCCCTTTCTGAACCTAGCGACATCACTTTCATGCCAATTCATTAACTTTTTGAAGGTGGGAGGGTCTCTTTAACCCGCTTCGAGTCAGTGCTTGGGTCCCTTTGCGGGCCGGGAGGTGGTAAAACAGCCCTGTCTAACTCGGCTCCTGGGCCACGCCCTGATTGAACTATGTTTCATTATCGTTCGGGGGAGGGGGAAAACGGGCCACTTTAGGCCTCTGGGAAGGGGGCATGGCCCTAAATGCCCCCTCCCTGGATCCGCCAGTGTAAGAAGAGACCATTGGAGCTGCAGTTGGGTACCTCAGACATCAGGGTACGCCCTCAGATGTATGTATAGGACTCGCATGGAGACCTCTTATGCTATAGTGTACTGAAAGGACCCAAAGGAGCCTGTCTATATGGGCTCCCGGAGGTAGACGTGGGCCCTCAGGAGCCCGCCAGAGCCCCAATGAGGGATAAGTGAGGGATACCAAGTGCCTGCAATTGCATATTGCATAAGCCATAACGCCTTTACAAATCAATATATTATGCATCAGTGGCAGATCCAAGGGGGGCCACATGGGTCATGACCCCCTTGGTGCCCGGGGGCACAACAGGCCTGTCAGGGGCACCACCGGCCTAGTAGGGGCACCACCAGCCCGCCAGGGGCACCACAGGCCTAGCAAGGGCACCACGGGCCTGTGAGGGGCCCCACAGGCTTGTCAGGGGCACCCCAGGTCTGTCAGGGACACAAGAGACCTGCCAGGGGCGCCGCCGGCCTCGCAGGGGCACCATGGGCCTGTCAGGGACACCAGAGGCCTAGCAGGGGTACCACAGGCCTTACAGGGGCACCACCGGCCTTGCAGGGGCACCTTGGGCCTGTCAGGGGCACCACAGTCCTGTCAGGGCCCAGGGGCACCAGCGGCCTAGCAGGGGCACCACAGGCCTGCCAGGGGCACCACCGGTCTAGCAGGGGCACCATGGGCCTGTCAGGGGCCCCACCGGCCTCGCAGGGGGCACCACCGGCCTCGCAGGCATCACGGCATCACGCAGGGGCACCTTGGGCCTGTCGGGGGCATCACGGGCCTGTTGGGGGCACTTTAGGCTTGTCAGGGGCACCACAGTCCTGTCAGGTCCCAGGGGCATCAGCAGCCTAGCAGGGGCACCCTAGGCCCGCCAGATGTACAGCCCACCGCTAAAGTAATGTAGGGTTTTACCAAACTCAACGGTTGGCTTTGACTGGCGATTGTTTAATGCGAAGTGATTGAAAAGAAGATGTCAATAGCTAAAGTTGCAGCTGCAAGGGTGACGATACATATAAGCTACATTCAAAGTTTCATTGTAGTCTGGCTAATCGTTCCTAAGCTTCAGAAGCAGAACATACCCATGACTGAAACCCCACATTACTTCTGCTGTGGACTGTACCACAGGCCTGCCAGGGTCCAGGGGCACCACAGGCCTAGCAAGGGCACCACGGGCCTGTCAGGGGCACCTCAGGCTCCCGTGCCCCCCCCCCCCAGATCCGCCAGTGATGCCACACCACGCGAAACACCGCCAACTACCAGCTGCCGCGCCATAAACACGTGCCAACAACAGTCTTTTTTTTAAGGTCGACTCCGCTCGCACAACTTTTGACTGACCCTCACTGCTACTATATTGCTTCCATATTATGCTGTGGAAAGCTTTACTTCACCAAGTGGCTAAAAACCTCCATCAAGGTACATATATTTTCTTAGCAATTTTTCTGGCGTTTTGGGGGGGGCCAAACAGGCCACTTTAGGCCTTTGGGGGGGGGGGCCATGGCCCCCGTGGCCCCCCCTGGATCCGCCAGTGGGCAGATAGATAGATAGAAGGATAGACGGATAGTCTAATGGACGTATGTATAGGCGTATAGACGGATAGTCGGATAATCGGATAGCAAGACCAGACAAACGCCGAGACGGTCGACGGATGAACGAATGGACGAATCGCTGAATTGATAGGCGGTTAAAGATGTTCTGTTCACAACACTATGCTCGTAAACTTGTTTCTGTTGTTACTGCCGCTAGTTACGTGCTTTAATTTTCTCTATTCCTGTCAAAAAAATCGAATATTTGGAAATAGTGTTCATCTTCAAGCGGCCGGTTACAGCCTTTCCAGGTGCACCCTCACGCTCTTCAGTATGACTTTCCCCAACTGACGTTTGTCGATTCCAGTGACCTCTGACCTCCCCCATTGACCAATAACCCTTCCAACTGACCTTTACTGATCCTAGTGACCTCTTATCTGTCGTGCTGACCCCGTACCTATTCCTCTGTCCTCTGAGTCTCTCTGCTGACCTCTGAGTCTCCCCGGCGACCCCTGACCTCTTCTAGTGACCGCTGAGTCTCTCTGGTGACCTCTCGGTCTCCCGCTGACCTCTCGGTCCCCCGGTGACCTCTGGGCCTCCCCGATGACCTCTCGGTCTCCCGCTGACCTCTCGGTCCCCCGGTGATCTCTGGGCCTCCCCACTGACCTTTGACCCGTGCCGACAGACCGCGGCTGCCCGGCGGCGGTGGTGCGAATCTGGCAGGACCTGAAGAGCACCCCCATCGAGCTGTGCGGAGACACACTGATGTCACGCTACAAGCAGATCATCTCTGCCAGTAACGTAATGAAGCTGTCGTTCATATCGTCAGAGAAGTCGGTCGGTCAGCAGGGATTCCGAGCGTACTGGACTGAGATGAAGGACGGTGAGTGATGGAGCTGGGAGGAGGGGGAGGGAGAGAGGGAGAGGAGGGGGTGAATGAAGGGACAATGAGAGTGACCGAAGGTGAAGAGGGGACGGAGGAAGGAAGGGAGCGATCGAGAGAGAAGAGCGAGAAAAACATGGGCCAATGAACCGATTACTGAAACTCCTCACGAAAAAAGAGCTATTCATGCTCTCACTCTTTTTAATAGATGTAGATTGTAGGTACGTAAGATATATGATACGATTCCTATCTACCAACCCTCATGTCCTCAATATCAATTGACCCGGACCTCATTGCCCCGATAGTGTTTGCGGGCATCAGACCTGTGCCTTGTGTTTATGTCGGCTGCTGACACCAAATGATGTACCGTGTTTGATGGTAGATTTACCTGTTCTGCCTCCACAGACAAGGAGTGTGACGGTTTCCACTGTGAGAAGAACGGCTTCTGCATCCCTGAGCGGCTCCGATGCAACATGAGAGCCAACTGTGGCGTGGGTGACCTTAGCGACGAGACTGGCTGTAAGATCCCGACCCTAAACCCGAACCCAACGGACCTCAGCAGTGTTCAACATCGACGCGTTTTTGTTCCAAACCCCACATCGGTGCTGCCCTGAATTTCCGAGAAGCACGAAAGACCCCTTTTAAGAAAGTGTATAATCGTCCGATCATGATCAAATAGTTGTGTGTGTTTGTAAGCGTGTTCTGCCAAGATCTGCCAAGACACACAGACTTGAGAAAAAACGAGTGACTGTACCTTTTTTTAAGTTTCTATCCAACTTGTCGAAAATTCAAGGGAGAACAGATGTGGGGTTTTGAAAAAAAAAAAAACTCGTCGATGTATTAGAACGTGAAACAGTTCATAAACGCAATTAGGTATATCATTATTTTCTGAAAACGGCAAATGTCTGGGTGAAAGTAATGACAAAACTCGCGTACGAAAAATGCGACTCTTGGGGCCAACGCTGTGCCCTGTCTTTGCTCAATGTGACCTTTAGAGTTACAGTAACCCAATGTGACCCATGGCCCGCCGTGACCCCTGTCATTTTTTCACAAACCTCAGAAACTTGGCAAAACTTTTCTGTAACCCGTCGTGATCTGCGTGATTCACCGTGACCTGCGTTGACCCCCAACTGACCCCATGCGACATCCGCTGGCGTCTGTGATCTGATGTGACCCCTCTGACTCTCGCTATGACCTGCCTGTGCCCTCAGGCGCCACGGCCGCCGAGGTGGACGTATTCATGCTGCTGGGCGTCATACTGGCCATCGTGGCGGTGGCCGGTCTGGGTCTGTGCGTCTGGTGCCGACGCCGCGGGGAGGACCGTCACCGGCGCCACCCGACCTCACCCTCACACCGTCACGTGCACGTGTGTGACCACCTGGGGTCGCGGCTCTCCACCATGGACACCGTATGAGAGAGGTGGCGGTTCGGGCCCAGTGATCCGCCCAGTGTCGCCTCATCCACCGGTACACTGTGACACGGTGCGGGCGATACAGGGGAGAGGAGAGGCTGGGTAGAGCACAGGGAGAGGGGCAGGACTGGAGAGAGACGCGCGTTGTAGAGGTGGAAACCTAAAGGATGGCTCAGATACGAAATGATTCGTGCGGGGGGGGGGGGAGGCACGCTTTTCAGATGAAGTTGTCAGAAGTCAGACTGTTCTTTTCTACTTCTGGGTTTGTTTCAACCAGAAAACTTTCGTCAAGCCTGGCTCCAACACGGATAGGTACCGCGTAGTATGAGCTGGATTGAGGACCTGACCCCAGTGACCTGACAGCTGGTCGGAACGCCCCCTCTTCACTGAGTGACCTGAGTGACCCAACAGCTGCCTCGGACCGCCTACTCGAGTGACCTGAGTGACCTGAATCGACCGGACTGACCTGAGCAGGAGTCACTCCGGTTTCAAACGGACCCGTCGTCGCCACCGAAACGCAGAGCACTCTCGAAACGATCGCACAATCGCACAATAAAGAGAAAAACTCAGCAGTGACCGGTCCACAAGTGACTGGAGGGACGCCAAACCTACCGAAATTGTTGGACTAGTCAGCGTCAGTGACTGTGAAATGTGAACTGAGAGCAATGCACGGACGGACGTGCATCAGTTTCATTCAGTGTGATGGTTTTGTGTAATGTTATGGGCAAGCGGCGCCAAAGACATTTGCTTGTCAATTGAAATACGCCAAATAAACGCCAAAGTTGTAGGGGAACTGCAACTAGACCGCGAGAAGTTAGCAGTTGTTGGCTATTTCACGATGTGCTGTCAAAATATGGGATGAAATCTCGCTGGTGCTATGTGTTGTGGGATGGAGGATGGGTACAACTTGCGTTGTGAATGTGTTTGTGTGTGCGTGTTGTGAACGGGATGGACACCGGACGGCATGCCAGAGGTCGCCCTAAGAATGATTGCCAACCTGTTATTTTCCTGTTAGTCCAACTTTACTAGAAAAAGGCTTCACCGACAGCGCTGCTGCCTGAACCGTTGAAGCAAAAAGCTGGTGATAGATGCTGCAGTGTGTGTCATTACATGGCCAAACGCAACTATGCGAGCAGCTACGGGTGAATTCTACTAGTGATCTTAGCGATGTCGACAGTCGATTAATTACACACCTATGTAGGTATTTATTTTGTACCTTATACCCTACTTCTGATATTTTTGTTCAGCTTGTTGTCAGACCAACGAGCAAATAATGTCAGTTGTGTCTTGTCAGATCCTTCATAGCACCTAAACCTAAACTACCGAATGCCAGTGTGAAATCGAAGGGCATTGTGACTCAATGGAGGGCACCAGTCCTTTGCTTGATGGCTGCGCCACCTAGGATGTAGTTTGGCGATGGTGCTGCCACCTAGGGCACTGACCTGGCAGCTCTCCAGCTGCGGCTGTCAGTGTGAGGATTGCACACACAGATCAGTGTGACGATGGGCCGGTATTGGGTTGTGCTCAAGCCGTCTTCACGATGGCAATAGTTGTAGTAACTTAAATGCGCAATGTGGGACAAAATCAGAGTGTGAATCGCTTCAATTGATTCATGTTGCGACTTGTGGAGCGTCGTGTATGTGCTTACTGTTGTCAGACGAGCCACGAGTGCTGTTACTAAATACTTTACCACAGTGTTTTGTTTGAAATTAATTTACAACCATAGACAGCGAGATAAAGCTATTGCGCCGTACGCTTTGGTCTCAGGACGTTTTTTCAGTGTTTGTTGTAACTTTGGGAATGTAGGGCCGTTGTAGATAATTTGCGTACAAAATAAATATGCATACCACAGTTTATCAGCCTCTATCCTACTTATAATTTAGATTTTAACTCATTCTTAATGTGTTCAATAATCACTGCGAAAGGCACCCTGACCAAAATGTTTGGCTCATTAGATGTCATTTAGAAATACCGAGATTTAGGAGAAACGTCCTTCAATTTTAGTGCGTTTATACCTACATCTTCTTTTTTCTCACCAAAATGCTAATACACCTGGGATGGTGGTGGACAAGTTGGTAAGGATGCAATGTGAGTTGTGACTCTGTAAGTTTCGTACCTTTTTGTGCCATTTGAGGCAGTGCTCAGTAGGCAGTAGGCAGTACTCAAGAGCGAGATGAACACTTTTAGCGTAAAAACTTAGTCTTGGAAGCATTATAATTTCTGCGACTTCATATCTTTTTTTGTAGCGATTAGCGAGGCATTTTGATGTTGTCCTTAAGTCCGCGCCAGTTTTACAATGTAGGATGGATTAAAAAGCATGCATTAGAAAACGGATGATTCCATGCTGTTGACCTGGAAACAATTTCTGACAATAAACAGAGCGAACGTGAATATCTGTTTAGTTTAAACGTTTCCCTCGCTGAAGTCGTGTGGTAACGACTCCAAATACGGGCTAGATAAGCGTGCAGATCTTTCGGTGATGCAAGAGCCATCTCTGGTATCCGATAAGTGCAAGATCTTTGATTACGGAAGCAACCAAGAGCTTTCTAAATATGATAATTCTGCAATGCGCAATTCCAGCCGACAGATAAGCCTATTCTGACGGGCAGCGATGATAGGGCCCCGGCAGCACCGGCAAGGAGCTATTATCAGTGCCTACCTTAAAAATCAAGAGTGTTTTAACTACAAAACTTGAAACACATTGTATTGAAACAAGTATGAGTTTTCCTAGTTATTGCAAATCTATTTTTTTAATAGCAGCTTATAATGTAGACGACAAACGTAGATGTGCACTATTTATCAAAGGGACTACCTATGGTTTGTGACATTTTAAAGGCAAACCTATTATAATCTGTAGGGATTATCCTAAATTCAGATTAAGTATTTTCCTGTCATTTTAATAAAGACAGGTACCTACTGGCACTGTTACCTGGCAAATGAAAAATCTTTTATATGTAGCTCCATCAATAATGGCCCTTCCATGCCGGTGCCGGTAACTAATAATGTCCAGACGAATGGGTCTGGAATCGTGTGTCCCATGACCAATATATCTACTATCGAAACTCAGTTGTGGTGAACCCGTAGCTTTCGTCAAATATTCGTCTGATTCAGTGCGACCCGGTCCCGGACCAATCCATTTTTCTGAGACGAGCAGCATGCGTTGACTGGAATGTAAAACATGGAACATGGATGCATCATCGGATCTAGCCAGAGATAGCCTTCATCTCTGTCTGCATGCAAAATGAGACCGATAAGGGCATGATGCAATCAATACTGCCAAAGACAGCCTCCGCTGAAATTCATCACTGATACATTCGGATAATCGTTGATAGAACATGATGTCTCCTGTGTAGCCAGCGTAGCCCTGCGTAGCAATTTATAGAGTCCATCGTGCGACTCCGTCAGAGGAGCCTACATATAGTACCTACACCTGAGTCCGCTTCACTCGTCTCGTATGTGTGAAAACTTTGCTGGTAACAGCATTAGTCGCTTTCACGACGGGCTATCCGGCGAATGCACCTAATTTGACCAAATCTGCACCTAATCTCTTTTACAGCAAATATTTTCACTTTATGAATTTATTTCAGTGTTTTAATCCATGATGCTCTCTGTCGTCTCTGATAATATGACAAACTAGGCATACAAGCAATAAGTGCAACCCTAGCTGATAGCTACTAAGAGATACACTGAACCTAATTTGACCAAATTTGCACCTATCTGCACCAGATGTGCACCAAATGTGTACCAGATGGACGTCGTGAAAACGGCTATTATAAAATATACAGCAGCAACTGTGTACAGGAATGTAGCTGTTCCGGTGATACAAACTGTTAACTGATAGCAACACATATAGGGTGTCGCCTATATTCGAGCGTACGTGTACCGTTAACGTCCCACTCCCGTTGATGCCTCTTGAGTGCCAATGGCGTAATTTATGTACAGTCAGCACTGGTAATTACTGCGATACACCATCTTTTTCAAGTCTTGCCTCCTATCCACCAAGTGATGAAAAAGATCATGAGTACCTATGCCATTCATTGCCCCTTATATGTAAGAGTGCATGGCGCACTTACATGTACAAGAGAACAAACAAACAAGAGATAATGCAAATGCTCGCAAGGTCGCATTAACCCTCGCCGGGCCAGGGGGTTGATGCAACCCCCCTGTTTTTCGCAAATAACGTAAAAACGGCGAAGTTTGGCATACTCTCTAGGGTGGCCTTTTGGGACCTTCCCTAAAAATTTCAGATCTATAAGCCCCAACAAACAAACAAAAATTTCAGATATCTGTCATTTCAGGTCAGGTCACCGAAACCGGTACAATGTCAGGGTAAAATTGGACTTTATCAGCGACAACGGATTCGCTGAGTTTATCGCTAATAGTGTAAGAACTAAGAACCGTAAGAGTTATGGCCACCAAATTTCAGACAGAACTTGGGGCAGCCATGTGACACGTTTCCTAGAAGTTTTGTGTCCCAGTGACCTCAGGTCAGGTCACAAGGTCACAAAAAACGGTACACGGTCAAAATGGCACTGAAAATTTGTTTATTTGTTTATTTACCAAAATCACCAACAGGGACAAGCCCCACTGACACGCGAAGTCAAGATAAAAACAATTAAACAGTATAAGACACATTGTAAACATCAAACGACAAGAAAGCATGCCACTTGTCACTGACGGTTTCGGCAAAGAAAACATAATCCCAGTCGACATCGAGTAAGTCGTGGATACAGTGCAAGGTGACCTAGGCGCTTAAAGGGACTATCCCACCTTCTAAAATGTTGTTAAAACTAGTTAAATTGTGCCCGACTTTATAGATTGGATGACCAGGAACACGGTTCTGGCATTTATTTTTCATTAAACATCTTAGGCTTCCCATGTTCCAAACACAAACTTTCAAATATGTGACGTCACAGCCCAAAATTACCTCCTTCCCCAGGCCACATTACTGTCATAAAGCTGATTCTTTTTACTCTGTAGGCACCACAACAAAGTTCAGACCAAGTTTTAAGCGATTTTTCAACGAACAAACCCATTTAAATCAGAATGACTAAACGAGGTGACGTCACACTAACGGTCGCTCCATGTTGAAGATAGGGCTTTGTACAAGGCCCATTTTCAAATCAGTCGGGGAAACTGTGGTAAAATCTGCCATTTTTAGCAGTCTGCTATTTTTAGCAGAAATCTGCTAAAAATGGGTACGGACCTGCTAAAAATGGGTACGCACGTGACGTCATCGTACCCAAATATAGCAGATTTGGGTACGGACCCATACAAAAACAGATTTGCGCACTACTTGAAGCAAATGCGCATCAAATGCCTGGCAGATTCATGATGAGAATAGTGCTGAGAGTGTCCTCTTCTATTTTCTTTCAGATCCGACTATTTTTTGATAAGATATTGCCATTGGAAGATGAATGCACTGAAATTTCCTAGAAATTGGTCATTGTTTTAGGTATTTTATGTTTCTTCTATTAAGAATAGACAGAAAATAATGTTGAAAACAAAATCTAGCAAAAAAATACATATGGTTGAGATTCATTACTAGAACAGGCCATCACTATAACAAACACAATTTGGCATGATTGGTTGACACACATGTTATCAAGGTCATACCATTGAAGGGGTAAATAGCCATGTAGGCATATTTTAATAGTTAATTTAGCCCTTTATGTGGTTTGTTAAGATGACCCTGGCCACAGTGTTTCTTATAATGGTAAATTTGGCACATAGCATTGCCTGGTTTTGTTCAAACAGCAGCTTATGCCCTGCTGGGTCTTGGCACGACTTTTCAACCTTCATGGTTAGGATGTCATTTTAGTGGTTTAATAATCCATTTTGGTTAAAAATGTTACCTCCATCTTATTCTCCAGACTTTAAAGTGTATGTAATGACCAGCTATTTTGAATCAAGACAATTCTTTTTTGGGAAATGAGTAGAAGTTTGGCACAGCCTAGCAGTCAAACACGTCAGGGTGCAGGCTGATGGTCAATTATTTACTATTTTTTCACATGTTTTGTTCCTCAAGATGACTATTATTTTCAAAAATCAACATCAAATTGCCAAACCTTAAAAAACATTGGTGTGGGTGTGTGTTTATTTGTTGATCATTATCATTGCATAGTGATTGCGTGACCAGATGAATATTGAATGTTGCATGGTGTGAGTCTACCACAGATCTTACGAGGGCCATATGGGTAATGGGGCTTCACGCCTCACGGTTTAAGAACCTGATGTTATTTCTGTATGTGTCTGCATGCTTTTGCCTGTTTGAAATGCGTACTGTCTCAGTCTTGTCTGGACGTGCTAGGACTTAGTAAACTTTGATATGTGGGGTACATGATGACACGTATTGCAGTAATCAGACTGTTTTCAAGAAACCTTCCACACTTTTGAATGCTGTAAAAAGCTCTCTCCCTCGCTCTCGCTCTCTCTCTCTCTCTCTCTCTCTCTCTCTCTCTCTCTCTCTCTCTCTCTCTCTCTCTCTCTCTCTCTCTCTCTCTCTCTCTCTCTCTCTCTCTCTCTCTCTCTCTCTCTCTCGGTCTCGGTCTCGGTCTCGGTCTCGGTCTCGGTCTCGGTCTCGGTCTCGGTCTCGGTCTCGGTCTCGGTCTCGGTCTCGGTCTCTGTCTCTGTCTCTGTCTCTGTTTCAGCCTGGTCAACAGTACTGTGCCATTGCCTTAAGATGGTGCTGCTA